AATAATTCTACCAAAAAGTATCGTGCTAGATGGAGGGACGATCTACCGAAGAAAATATTGCGGTGTATGGGCATCGTTGGCGGCATCCGGTTTCGGAATTGCCTGTCACTGTGGTCAGCCACAGGACGCCTGCGCCCACAGAGGGACCATGGGTGGCTTGCGCTGCACCACCCACAGCTCCAACCACACATCCCATATCCAGTGTAAACCCGAAGCAATAAGACCGGGAGGCATGTGGATCGGAGCCACGTTTCATCATCGGAGCCGGTCCAAACTCATTCACAGGCAAACATAATCACGCGATATTTGGGGAATCAAGCGCACCCAAGGCGGTGGCTGGACCGTAGTCCGCTCCACACTGAGTGCATGGTACCACTCTTCGAGACTAGCACGACCAGAAGGACCGTGCACCCCGTCCCCTCCAGCAACGACCAACTGTCTCCTGGAGCCAGTATGGACGAGGTAGTGGGTAACAGACAGGTAGGCACCTTGTCAACATGCACATCAAGTGCAGTCACACCGGGGATGTCAAACAACAACCATTCACTTTAAACGACAAGCTGAAATAAAATAAATCCAATAATGCATACAGATACGGTGGGATAAGTCTTTCCTAAATTATCATATGAAGTAAGTTGGTTAGCAACGAATCCGAGATAAGTAAGAAATGTCCACAAGTTACTTAAAAATGCTACAAATGCAACAAGGTTACCGAAGATAAGCGCAATTAGCGTAAGCAACGTTAATAGAACATTATTCAGGGAGGCAGAACAAACCAAATAAAATGGAACGAAATGTATCCAGCTTAAAAAGACCTAGTTTAAGTGTAAGTTGGTTTAGACCAACTGCGGTGAAGAAGCATCAAGTATGCAACATCAGCCTCAGCATGGGTATACCCATTATAATAAGCTCAAATGTCCAAACAGTTACGAGAAAAATGGATAAGATTAGAAACAAAATTCACTGGCGTGAATACTCGAAGCTTGGCGTACTTATACTTCAAGAGACGTGACTCCATGAAGATGTTGATGATGGTTGTATTGATGGAGAGATATATTTGCCATCTTGTCGACTGGTCCATCACATACAAGAACAGTGGCGGAGGTGTTATCACTTATGTCAATCCTGTTTGGTGCACGTCAACAAAAAATCGGTTTCGTTTGCTTCTCCAAGAATTAACTGTTTAATTTCGAAATGTAAACCAGCATGTTTAAGTTCACTTCAAGTGACATAGACCACCCTGATTCTTCACATTGCATCTTTGCTGTTGATTGAAACAGGTTTGACACCACGTTTCTAACAGACCTTGGGCTGCAAAACATTGTAAGCTCCCCCACTAGAGTGAATACCTTATTTTTGTTAACAACGAGAAGCTGCTTTTGTGTGCAATCAGGCATCGGTTGGTAGTTCGGACCACTCAAATATCAATTTATCACCTATCGTGTACAGCAAATTAAAGCATAGGGATATTACTCGTTGAAAGGATCGCAGACATGAAAAAAAGACAATGTTCACCTGAGAACATATATCGACTCCAGGAAATGATTAGATCCACAGATTTTACTATCTTTTTGGCAACGATGTATCTAAATACTGCGACTGGTACACGAGCTACATCAACTTCTGTTTTGATACCTGCTGTGAACTGGAAACCATTTTCATCCGTGCGGATTGGTTTGCAGTTCCATAACTGAAACGCTTGCGAAGATTCAAAGAGAAAGCGTTCAAAACGAAAGACCACGCTGCGATGAAATCTTTTTCTTTTTCTATCAAAACTGAGTTGCGCCGTCTAAACCAGCTACACGCCCATATCATACTGGGAAATAGTAGCTGCCGGGATGTCTGGCGTATGCTGAAACCACCAAGTGGAGTCTATAACCGAATGTCAGATCCAGATGTAGACCCGGAAGAACTGAACTGAAATGTTGTTGCTTCAATGCTAACTCCACCTCTCACCGTGCTTACTCACGATCGGACCGCCGCCAACATTCGCATCTGCCATTGACAGAAATACAGTGCGCAATCAACTATTACAGCTAAACACCAACAAAGCAGGTAGTGCGGACGGAGTACCGCCGGTTGCCCTTAAAATGTGTGCCAATTCCTTGGCCTAGCCTCTTGCTGACCTATACAAGTTGTGCACGAAAGAGTGTAATATTACTGACTGCTAGAGAAGTGCTATAATTACACCGCTGTCAAAGAAAAGCTCAGATAAATACCGACCAATTGCCGACACCTCAGTGAACTCGATGACATTCGAGAAGCTTATTCTTGAAATGTTGCTGAATAAGACTCACTCAGATGATCCGCTACAGTTGGCAGAACGTACTTTGAGGTCTACTCAAGATGTATGAGCCTATCTTGTACATTCAGTGCTGTCCTCATTAGACATCTGTTTTCTCGATTACAGTAATGTTTCCGGCAGAGTAAACCGGGAGTTTCTTTGAAGAGACCTGAAAGATACCAGAATTCAACTCGCTAGTGTCCACCTTTTGAGAGACTACTTCACTGGACGCGCCCAGCTTACTCGACTTGGGGATAAAACTTCCTCGCCGCTCACTACGGACACGGGAGTTCTTAAAGGGGAAAGAATATCCCCATACTACCTCTCCATCTACATCGCCTCGTTACCCGCCCCTGTCGATGTTGAAATATGCAGACGATGGGTAGGCAACAACAGACCGCAGCGTCCTAAACTAAGCTACAACCCTATCCGGACAGCCTTGTATTATGGCCCAGAGCTCACTTTTTATCGCTGAATGCATCAAAATACAATAACATCATTTTCTCCCTACATATAGGTCATGGTTATCAGCAACTTTTTATGGAACACCCTGAAATTCATTTAGATGGCGAGAATTTGCACTCCAGTTTCAGTGATGTACGTAGGTGTAACACTCAATCGATATGTTTCCTGGTCACTTCATGTTAATGATGCTTTTACCAAGGTGAGGAGGCTTTCATTCTACGCTCTTCGTTTGCGATCCTCCTCTGTCCCCGCCAAGTAATTCCAAGATTTATCACTGCATGCGTCTTACCGATTCGGACCTATTGCAGCGCTAGGATACTTCCTGGTTTCCAAAGGAATCACTTCAAAATTTTAGGTAGGTCACTCACGAAATAATGTCGATGTAGTGAAATTCCCAAGCCAATCTTTGTTGAGATTCTTGTGTCCACTCAGAAAAATTCATGCACAAAGCTTGCTTCGAGAATTCTTACTGATAAAAGCCACCCCCCTAATCGCGCATTGACTGTGCATTAACATCCTCAACCAGATAAGAGTATAGATGCAGTTTGCTCACACAAGGGCCTAACACTCATCCGTTATTCCATACGTGCCATGTTTTCGGAACGAGCAGACATCCGTTGTAGTGGAGCTAAAAGCAAATTTACATAGTAATCATACTCCTGTTTAAGACACTTATTACTCTAATTGTGTAATTACTGCTTCATTTGTTTTATTATGCGGAAAGCGTGTGTGTAATAGCTTTTATGGGTGCATAAAACACTTCCTTGAATTGAATACATACCACACCGTTCTGCGTCTGGAACTGAGACACTCATGCTCGCTCAACTTGTCCGGAAAAGTAGCTCACCTAACGGCAAAGGCCAAACAGAGCAGTTGAATTTTATTATAACATTCAAATTAAAGGAATCTATACTCTGAGAGAATGCATCGCTTTCACGTTCCCATCGGAAAACCTCTCAATGGTGTACAGTAGCATAGAGAAACTGCAACGCATTGTACTAGAAAATATGCAACGAACATTCACAAAGCCCTTATTAGATACCTCATTCAAATTAGAATATTGTGAGGAACTCGAACTTGAACCCCTCTTGCTGAGACTCATGAAGCACAAAGGAAGCATATTATTTAAAGTCCTACACGAGAATATGCATGCCTGCAACTTTAACATAGAAATAATACAAGAGACTCCATACAACACGCAAAAGTTATATTTGTTAGTGCAATGCACGTCGAAGGTCACCAGATCCGCTAGCGTCTTCCTTAACAGACAGCAAATTCAAGAACAAATTACGATCCGAAATACGTTCTCGCAATAAACAGAACGAATTTTGCAGAAGGGTCAACAAATATTGCTGCTTTCAAAATTGATCCATCTATTGAGATGTCGAATAAAAATATAGCCAAGCGTGCGAACAAGGCTCATAAGATCCAGAAAAAAACCCATCTACAGCAGAGTGAAAATTGCAGTGGGAAGACCTCTACACCCACTTTTTCTTCCTCCTACACAGTTATACCAACCCAAATGTTATCCACAGCAAGCGTACCACGGAGAAGTAAACTAACTGAACACGCTATTGGTTATTGTAGTCGCCTTTTATAGTTCCCACCTCTAGGCGCCGCCCTTGCTCCTGCATTAGGTGTCACAAGTAATATCCGATACTAATGGATAGCCATTGGACAAAGCAACCTACACAGTGGGTGTAAAAAAAGTTATGCATAGTTGTGTCAAAACTCAACTAGCCAAAATCAACTTTTAGGTTTTCTATATTCACATTATCAAGGGGCAAACCAATACTGCGATAGAAACTCTATGTAGTATCAGATGACTTATTGAGACAACAATCAACTTGAATACACCATAAACATTGCAAATTAATTCGAAATGCTTTTGTACATTTGCCGATCATTCGTGAGCGTTGTACTAGAAAATACATCTATTTACGTGAAAATGTAGCCATATACGTGCCTCGCTAAAATGTGTTGATAGTCAATAAAGAATACCATATCAAAGTGCATTATTTTGTGGCGTAACTCGTGTCCAGTTCCAAAACGTTTGCATTCCACTCTATGCAAAATCTATTCATCGAATTGTGATTGACGAATGTAATCCTTTGCTCACGATGCCACATAGATGTCGCGTGGAAAATCGAGATACCCTAAGTATTAGTACCATTACAAGTTATTTATTATATGGACAAGGATGAAGTGTGAGAAAAAACAAAGCAAATAAAACCTCCAGCCTTACACTCACTCAAATGCACACTCTGGATGTGCTTTTTCAAAGTGTTCAGAGCAGTAAACGATTGATTACAGCGATCGCATTTATGGGGGCGTTGCTCTAGATAAGAGAAACAAAATGTGAGACATCAAGGGTTAAATACAAGGGCAAACTTAGGGGAATGGTGAAGTAACTGTCGGAATGGATGCACACGAGTTGTGACACATAATGATGGATGAGAAAGTTGGCAATTCAGTACATAAAATATCTGCCCGGGATGCATATCTCGACAAAAACGCGAGATAAAACTATGACTTGGTGGAGACAGTGCCCAACAGGTATCATTAACTAGACAAATAAGTATACGCCAGGACGATCAAAGCATTCAGTATAGAGTGCAGTCGGTGCAGCCGCGTAGAGGGGGGCAAGCACTGCTCGTGCTTCCTTGCACTGTACCGTCCAGTGACACCGAAGTTCTCTAAGTCTAAGAAATTCCTACCGCCCTCGTCAAGGTGGGGTCAGAATATTCCCTAACTGGTATTCTAGTATCCGACTCAGTTACCCACTAGCTAGTAATTGGATCAAACTGCAGAAACTCTTGCGACAAAAGCGAAACGTTATCACAACAAAAACCTAGAAAAATCGATTTGTACACAAAACCTTCTGAAATCATGACGTCCCAGTCAGTTCCCAGCCGATTTGGTGATAATGACAGTAAACATATGAAATGGTCGATTGCGAAACAGTTAAATGCAGGCTAAATAACGCTTCAGGATCGTGGTTGATAGAGCGGTGACTGGTCTCTCAATGGCAGCTTATGTGATATGCAACCGGGACACGTAACAGTTAACGGAACGATTTCATCCGCTTCAAAGAATCAGTGTGCGATTAGGAGAACATTCATATTGAAATCGTCTGTTCGACTAAATTATCGTTGAATTACAGCTGCACGTTAGTGTATGTGCAAGCTTTCAAAAGTCAACGTGATCCTTCAGTGTCAACGAAAACAGCGCAAGAAAGGCAAAATGCCTGGGAACAATCATAAAAGACACCACATCCAACGCGTAGCATCATGCGAAACGGGGTACCAGTCAGTATCTTGCTGATGAAATTCAACAGGAAGATTATGGATATTTAAAAAAATACTGACAAAGCACTGAAAGAGGTACTCACTGAAATGTGTTATATCGATGTGCCTCTTCAATGTAGTCCTGTCAAAGAAGCGCCTGTCACAATGACTGCAGCTGTGGGGTTTCTCTTCTGCAAGGAAAATCAATGTGAAGTGATGTAAGAGCGCCGATAGATGTGAAGTGCTTCCAAATCGGTCAGTCATCACAGCACGGCTACCTGTGTATGACAATCGTACCAAGAAGCTGGAACCATCATGTAAAGTAAGCAGTTGTCCTGAGTATTCTGGAGGCGCTCTACACCATTTTACACTCATGTTAGCGCATTGTACCAAGCTTTTAGAGTGGCACATTTTCGAAATCGCGTGCAGTGCTTTCAAGTTAGCGAGGTTTCCTTCAGATAGGCATCAAAATATAACAGAAGGTGGTGCTCGACCACTTTCATTAGACGGTCTGTCGTTTATGCTGTGGGCTTCCAACCGGTGTCCCATTGGGTAACGTCCCATTAACAATGAGAGTGTCAACGACGCCAAAACAGCGTTCTTAGACTCGCTAACTTGAAAGCACTGCACGCGATTTCAAAAATGTGCCACGCTAAAAGCTTGGTACAATGCGCTAACATGCGTGTAAAATGGTATAGAGATTAGTGCTGTGAAATAAAGTCGGCACCTGCACCAGAGTAGGTTACATCACGGGGCGGCAAAGTTTACAAGAACAGTGGACGTGCACAATTTTTGATGAGTTGTTGAGGCATGTGGATGGGCGGAAACGATTCCAGGTGCACCACTCCACTGCGTACTAGTGTAGCCACGCCTCCCGCTGCAAAAAACATCTTTGTCACTTGTACACCATCGCCACAAGCAACCGCTCGGCAACCACTGGGTTACCGAACCGTGGGTTTGCATCAAAATGCAGACATCACCACATATAGAAATTGGGTAAGAGAATCCGCACGCACATCTGTGAAGCATCCGACATATTTCTTTGACTCCTGCACGGTTGTCTGCTTCAGCTGTCAGAGTGGGAATACGGTAAACCACCGTGAGGTTGGTTGTATCAAGAAAGCAAATGATCACGTATGTACTATTGTCATCGCATGTAAAAAGCTTTGTAAACCCATATCAACCCGAGGAACAGAAGTGGAAATTGTTCTCGTGAACAAGACCCAAAATGCAGAAAGGTTCGCATTGACCGAATGGTCAATATATGACATCATATGAAAAGTAAAGAGAGTAGATGAGTAGAATGTGCTTTTTCCAATAAGCGTAGCATCAATAAATAAAAAAGTTCGGTATTTTTTGGCGGTACGAGACACAGATCAAGTGCGTTGACTGATCATTATATACAACATAATCGGATGGAAGGGGAAGATTTTTTTGCATGTTACAAAGTAGGTCACAAAATTTTTTTGAAGTGACCAAGTATTTTAAAGTAATAAAGATGCGGACAGTAGAGCGTAGGAAGTATTTTTAGCATAACTAGCAGTTGAAGTAAAGTAATACGACCATTCGTGGGACCGTCTCCTAGAGACCTGCTTTCATGGGGGTAGTCATTTGAGTGATTGCAACCGCACTCCCAAGCCTCCTCCCGAATTGCGCTGATATGAATTAAAGGCCAGTTAGCTATCATCAAGTTGACTGGATTTTTTGGCGGCTATTGTAAGCAATAGGCCGTTATCATAACCATTGTTATCCTTATAGGCCGCCAACATGAGGACTCAATTTTGAGACCAACAGCTTATTTATTTTGAAGCTGCAATCCATCAGTTCAGGAAATTGGCTCAGTCGTGACCAACCATAGAAAGAAAAATTATGGAATAACTGTTGTAACTACGTAGTGTGGCCACTGTGGCAGTCGTACTTATTATGTACACGTCTACCCACTTGGTGAACACACTAACCCCAATTAAGAAACAATTGCTTGACATCTTGGTCACCTCAAAATCAACGTGAATTGTCTCACAACGTTTGGAAATTGCTATGCACAGTGAAGTGTTTAGAAGTTTCACTGTGGAAGCACAATGGCTACATGTGGCGACACATTCCTGGATGGCACTGTAAACGAAAAGCCAGTATATGTAACCCGTGACTAAAGCATCATCCGTGAAATTCCGGGATGATTTAGGTGTGGAAATCTTAATACCCATGTCCGCAGTGAGTTCGGAACAACGACGCGATCCCCGAAAATAACACAATCATCGACAAGTCTGAACAAGTCACGCCCAGGATAAATTTGGTGAAGAGTTGCGTCACTAGTCCGGTTTGACCACTTTGGGCTTATAAAACGAATAACATTTTGCAAAAGAGGGTCGAGCATGGTGTACACTTTAATGTCAGCAGAAATAATCATAAGAGGTGTGATTGAACTACACAGAAAATGTTTCACAACCGATTCAAGCGCAAGTAACGCGATCATCAGATTTTCTTCTATGCTCAGCTGTTTCGCGATATGTCGAGTGAGCGCATCGATGAGGCTGAACTCTGCCGTAGGCATATGAGCCTGAAGTTAGAGACGATTCAGTGTACACATATCGGCTCCACTTTGCATCGAAAATAGCTAATAATGGTTTGTGAGCAGTTTACAGTGGCAGTTCTAGAGCCTGCAACATGCGATGAAACCATTTGAGGTCAAAAGTTAAGGTTTGCGACACTTTCTCGATATGTAAGTAGTTTTTTTCAGACTTCGTTCAGGTAAGTAATGCGTAGGGAACCGGTCTCATGGTGTAGAATCGGAAAGCTGGCGGAGAATCGCTCAAAGGCATCCGCAGAAGCAATGATATATGCTTTTGGGTCCTAAGGTGGTGGCGTAAGATCAGATACAGGGGTTTTTAATGACCTGAAACGCTTCCTCACATTGGAGTGACCAAAGTGAGGGACAATTTTTACTTGACAACTCATACAATGGCCCGCGAAACCGATGTATGTGAGGAATAAATACCATGTAATAATCCCGCACGCCTAGGAACGATTTCAAGGTATGCATGTTGAGGGTTGCAGATACTTCCTCTATGACACATTGCTTCGATAGCAGACCTTCGTCTGCTCCGACTGAACATAAAACCAAAGTATTTCAGTTGAGGCATAAGCAAATGACAACTCTCAGGGTCAAGCATGGTACCGCACGCGTTCGAAAACCTGAAATAGATGGCAGATATAATGGGTCCTGTCCAAAGATGCAAAAAGGATTTTGTCTAAGTATGCAAAAGCAGGTAGTATGGCAACCAGCATCGTAACCATTAGTTGTTGAAAGAGACTTGGGGCAGCGTTCGCTCTCATTGGTTGCCGATTGTACCGATGAAGACTACGGTGAGTGTTAATTGTAAGGTGCTGCATGTCACCATCGAGTAACTCTTGAAAAGGGGCGTGTGAGTAATCAGTACATGATAACACTCGGCTACCGTTGAGTTTGGCTGAAAGATTCTCGATAGTAAAGCAGAACATGATAGATTCAGGTCCGCATCCAACCCGGTGGTAAAAACCACATAAGAGTATTGTTCCGTTTGAATACTTCACTATCGCTAAACGTTAAGTCTGAATATTCCACTTTAGATATCACTCCCGATTGCTCCAAGCGACCCAACTTATATCCAACTAACTTAAAAGAAACATACAACAGGTGTTACGTCACTCGTAATATTAAGCGATGCCACGAATTTGGTGACACAGTCAAATAAAGGACGGAATACCACTGAGAATTACTTCGACATACCGGGATGACGTGTCCGGATCTGACTGAATTTTCTCGGTTGCATCACACACAGAATCAAGAGGAATACTCCACAAATTTAAGGCGGTGATCCAAACGGTACGAAGGTTAATTCCAGGTCGTCTGGAACGTGACGGACACCATTTCGCATATCGTTTCTGCAAACATTTTAACAGGGAAATTTTCCAAATAACCATAGGATACTGTTCGATGCACACATTGCGGTATTTTCCGCATTGCGTGGTACCGGTCTACCGACCACGTTGTGTCTGGAAATGATGGTAGTCAGATGCTGCATGCAGCCATAGGTGCACTGAGCCACCATTCACAGTGAAGGTGATGAACTTAATGAGTGAAAGAAATCCTCCCTGTGCAGTTGCATAAACTACAGTAGACTCCCATTTCATTTCGCGTTGCCCAGACGGCTTTGGCTAACCCCATGACGAGGAGGTCGTGTGGTCAACCGGTGTTTCTTGTGGTAAACGTTGCACCGGTGAATAATGAATGAACGATTTCACGTGAAATGGAACTCATCCCAACTCCAACATACATGTGGTGGGTTCTGTTATGCAATGACATAGACTCCCGGCAGGTGTTTGTGTAAAAATTATTTCAAACATCACGATCCCTGATTGCAGTTATCTCGACTGTAACATTACTAAGCTGTTAACTTGACCAGATGATGAAAATTTGCAGTAACAACCTGAATGGTGAACTCTGGAGATCAGTCCTGTTTGGATTACAGACTTGTTCCGATTTCTGCGTCAACTGCAGGGGTAAAGCCGGACACAGAAAACGTGTGACTTGTACTGATTGTCTGTAAGTTGTTTGAGCATGAAACATTTGCATGAATAGCACTCTGCCTGCTTATGAAACATAATCCTCGGAGTGATTCTTAATCAACTTCAGACACCGATAGGGGATGTTGGAAATTGATGATCTTCAACCAAAACTGGAAGTGAGAACATCGATAGTTTCCTGGAAATCGCAGTCGCGCAAGGGTTTCGGTAGAAAGGAATTGTTGTGTTCATCTGTGCCCAGCATCCGAGGTAAAAACCGTACTTAAATCGCATCGACAAGTGTTCGTGTCAATAAGGAAGATGTGATGCCATCCCATGCAACAGATTGGAAAGCATGCACTTCACTTGCCAATGTTCCAATTGCAATGCACTCGGTTTTCACTACGGTGATCGTCTGATCTAGAGATGACAGTTTCGCTGTGAGTGCTAGGAACGAAAACGTTTGCCTATGTTCTTGATGAAACACAGCCCGCAGTTGTTACTGGACATACTCTTGACGTTGTTGTAATAATTATAACTGAGATCGGTCAGAAAAAGACCAAACTGCACAGGACAGTGTATGCAATAAACATCAAGCCACGCGATGCCTTCAAGACGGCTGGCAATATAAGGTAAAGAGACAGAGCATGTCAGAGATGTCGCTTCGCATGGCCGGCAACCTCATACACATGAACCACAGAGGAGTAGTGGGTGAGCATTAGGTTTATGACCATAAACGCGAGGCATCGGATCGCCTAGCCCAAAAGGAAACAATAATAATATTCGGCAATGTCGCTTTCAATTTCCACCTAGTTTGTCATCGTTCCAGTTTCATCGTTCCGTCGTTCGAGTTACACTTCCGAACATGCGATCTGATAGTGCCTATACTAGGCTGCCATTAGCAAGGAAGGTGGAAACACGAGATCAATAACAAAAAACAGACCCCGTATCGACCGTACTCCTGCCACGGCAGTGTGATATGCGATTAAAGGTTGAGTATAACTATACACAAATACATTACGCAAAGCATCATTCATAATGACCGAGGTAGAATCTGCTGAATTCCCACCCGACAATCTGCGACAGCTAGTTTAGTCTCTAGCCTTCGTTATCGACTTAAACAAGTAAAATTCACGGACACAATGCCGAGTTAAAAACGCAGCTCTTAAACACAGACATCACATGATTGCAAAAGTTTGATTAGGTAAAATATGCTATAGCCTGACGGTGCACTCAATGATGAACTCACTTAAATGAACAAGTTTTATGTGCGTCCGGAGACAAGTCTTTAAGGAAAACGTTTTTTCACATAACTCGCACTTGTGATCTCGCTTTTCTACAACGGAAAAAACAAAATGCTATCAGACGGGCGCAAAATTAACTAATAAAGCACCTTATGGTTGAAAAGCTGTGTAAATGGCTAGTCGAATATTGAAAAATACCGTCATAATTAAATGGAAAGTAAATCTGCTTAAAAGCTCATCCACTTCTTCGCACTGCGTGTGTGTGGCGCAACATTCAAACAGCAAATGAAACTCAGCTAGGCAATAAAGTTTGTTACACCACTGAAGATACGCCAGCTCAATTAACCAATGTCAAAACTACTCATGGATATCTCCAATGCAATTTCGTATGTATTGTGCACACGTAGGCAAGCCTGATGACATCGCTGCCAAGTAGAGTGTATAGAGTACAGAGATGAGAATAAGAGAGACGGCTATAGCCGGTTTTTCAGGAAGACTGTGGACACGATCAGGCATCCAGAGCGACGTAATGAGAATTTAAAACGAACCACAAGTATGAAGCATCAAATCCAACAAGTACAGTGCTATCTGGACTATGCCGAGGGCGCCCAGATCACCTGCGCACGTTCTGAACTCCAGTTACTGTGATGGACAAGTTATACGCAGGATTGAGTTTGGTGCCTTCAGCTTTGGGTGGGTGATTTCTCTATGAGGTCATGGACATACTTTCAATAGGCACGGTCAGAACGTCGTTCTGCCACATTGTAGAGCCTCTTAGGGATACAGAGTAAATCTGACCACACCTTTATCTGAAGTATTGCAAGGCACAATTCGGAGGTATGCATATTCTAATGCTTTAGAAGTGTTCCGAAATCGCAACTAAAGAACTGTAAGATGCCGCCTGTGAATATGCAATCCGGCGATCCGAAACAGCTGAGCAGGTAACTGAGGCAGTGCAGCACCACATCAGCGGTTATCTGGCTACACATGGAGGATCTCAGGTATTGAAGTTAAAAACGGCACAAAGATTCTTATTAGTTGCTGGGGCTGTCACGGACGTCACGGATGACGTCATTGCCAAAGCTGTTCAAAGGCATTGTCGGACATGGCACTGGCTTTAGTGAAAACTTAAGCAATAAGAGGAATTTAATCCACAGATCGACAGACAAAGTGTGTGTTTCAATACATTCATTCGTGTTCTAATGACCGCAATTACAGACATCGGTGCTCCGATGAAACTGGGTATTCGATTCGCGGTAGCTACGGTGTTGGACTTGCTATCAGTAGATGTGTTGAAATCGCTCATCCGCACTAAAGTCAAGTCAGCAGCGAATTGTGGCATTCGGCGTCGAAGTTCCATCTGGGTTAATAATCGGTGGTTCAAGACAAGATGTAGTGATCATATCGTCTCGGAATTCGTTTCCACTGATTGCAGTCGAGAGGCAATCAAAGTGAATTGAAGTACTCTCGCTACATTTAAATGGCCAGAGGCATTGGCATAGAGATGCTTATGGGTACGAAACAGTTGAGGGATTGTCAGAATCAGATCGACGCTCACAAGCCGCTTCAGCGTGAATGCATGTCGCATAGCCGATAGTGACTGCAATCTCCCTCAGGTGCTCCAAAACAGTATCACAACGTTCCAGCATATGCGCTAACATCAAGTAACACGACGGCCAACGTATGACAATCTGTCTAAGGCCAAAATTGAACCCAACGTCTCACTTGTAGGTAGCGCAGGTCAGAACAAGATTCTCGCAGGATCCGGAGAACGTGCCTCGAATATGACAATTCTTTGGTGCGCGCCCGCACCTATCAGCCAGGTCGCAGAGCGCAAAATGGAAGATGCTCACAGATCAATAATTCGCGATCCGCTAGACAGAAACCTTGTGGCCACATTATTTACAGATGATGGTGAGGTAATCTGCACAGCACTGTTCGAACAGGTCTGGAAGCAAGAGATCAGCCTAGCTAACTGGTGTGAATCGATTATAGTGGCAACATACAAAAGGGTCCTCCTACCGATTGTGCTAACCACGGGGATATCAGAACACCGCTGATGACAAAAATACTGGCCTCAATTCTCGTTCGTCGCCTCACAGCAGAAAGGGAATCCCGGATTAGGGAACAGCATAGGAGTTTTCGTCCAGGACAGCACGCTAGAGATCGCATATTCAATCTGCAGCAGATGCTAGAGCAGCGCCACACATACCGCAGGCCGACAATCCTCATGTTCTCGAACTTCAACAGTGCATTCCAATTCGTCGTTGAATGTAATTTATTCGTAATACTAGCCCGGGTAAGGTGTTTCCATAAAATATGTAAACATGTTACGTCCCTGTACTCGAACATCACAGGCCGCGTCACGAATGCCTTTCCAACAATTGCAGTTTGCAGCCAATTTCCCCATTTCTGTTAAATTTCGTCGTGCACTTTATCATGGAACGTTCGCTTACGTAGCCTTATGATGAAGACGCTGTGCTACTGATGAAAAGCTACTTGAGCTTGATAATGCGGACGATATTGTCTTGCTATTAACCATGCTGCGGCGGCTTAATCAGCCCTGAACAAACACTCGTGAGTGGCTCCACAATCTGGTATGCACTCTGCACTTTCAAAGTGGTGTTGTTACAGGACTACCAGCCAGTTGATGAACCCTTGACCCTTGATGGCGAAGAACTCGAGATAGTTGATCAATCTACCTATCTTGGCAGTTGAATCAGCAACGATGGGCGCATAATCACTAAAGTCAGTTCGCGTAATGTAAAAGTTTGGAATACCTTTGAATATGCAATATCCGTGGCGTCAGAAATGGATTTCCCCCACCTGAAAGTTTGCGTGTACAAATTCACAGTAAGAGACGTCCTACTTTATGGGAGTGAGAGTAGTACCCTTCGATCCCAGCACCTGCGACATCTTCAAGGCCTTGATCATCGTTGTCCGTGAAGCACTGGTGTCGGGTCGCACCAGCGTGTCCGTGACGATGGTGCGCGGAAGAGAGTGCTAGGAGTTGATGAGCAAGCTAGTTGCTTGGAATAACAGATAGCACTCATTAAGTTACGTTGGCTTGGGAGTGTGTTACGTATGTCCGGTCACCACTTATCGAGGAGATCCTTGTTTGGTTAGACAGATGTTGGGTGGCGCAAGGCTCGAGGTGGGAAAAAATTAAGTTGGCAGTGGGAAATGAAGTCACTGATGACCAAACTCGGTGCCGCCGGTCTGTCTCGCCTTCCAGGCTGGAGTCCACGCGACCCGCCTAGTGCTTGGCTCGAGAAGTCGCAGGACATGGCTCGCAGTCAGCACCAGCAACGCGCATGCTGCCGTCTCATAGTCGGACTGCCTGTTTGAAGTGCGTTTGGTGTTAACTGTGAAGTGATGGTTGCTTATGACGCGAGACAATAAAAGCCGCAAGGAAGCTGTCTCGTAGATACCTGCTAATCTTTGCACAATAGCCAGCTATTTGTGACGGATGCTGTTGACACAAGATGTAGATGTCTTGACCCCGAGTGTTTGTTTAAAACAAAGGTTTCAAGCGAGGTCCCCCTTCACTCCCTGTTATTATTCTTCGTTCCCTAGGTCACTGTGAGTGTATGGCAACGAAGCATTAAATTAAATGGAAACATTATATATATATATATATATATATATATATATATATATACGTTCCGTTTTTGTTGTCGTCGTCGTCGTTATGGGGAAACGCTATCACGATATAAAGTCAGTGGCCAATCGTTTAGCCAAGGGTCGTCGTCCAGGTAGCATAATATTGAAAGTTGTGGCATCAGATGTCGCAATCGCGCCAACTCCATGGAGAGAGAAACAAAACCCTCAGGCGGTATCGTAATGGCGGCAAGAAGATAATCAAAACAAAACAAACCGTAGAAAGTCGAGTGCTACTTCTTTGTCCATGGTCATATTTGCATTCAATGCATTTAAAATGTTTCGGAATACAAATAACTCAGGATTGATGATACAGTTGTTTTTGTTATAAGAGCTTTCCAGTTTGGCTGCAAAGATTTCATGTCTGTGATTCAGCGAGAATGCTCGATGAATCGAAATGTACTGATGATGCCATCTCGCATAGTGGTAAGCTGTTTGGTAAAAAACTTTAAAGTTCAGAGCAAAAAATAAAATACTGTGTTACCCCAGACTACATATATGGTTGGCGGCATCCGGTTTCGGATTTGCCTGTCATTGTAGTCAGCCACAGGCCGTTGCGCCTACAGAGGGACTACGGGAGGTTTGCGCTGCACCACCCACAGCTCCAACCACACACCCATATTCAGTGTAAACCTGAAGCAACAAGACCGGGAGACACGTAGATGGGAGCCACGTTCCATCAACAAAGTCGGCCCATACTCCTTCACAGGAAAACACAAGTGCGCTGTATTTGGGAATCAAGAGCACACAAGGCGGTGGTCGGACCTTAGCCCATTGCACACTGAGTGCATGGAACCACTCATCGAGCTTAGCAGGGCCACAAGGAACGTGCACCACGTCCCCTCCACCAACGACCAACTGTCTCCTGGAGCCAGTATGGACGACGTAGTGGCTAGTAGACAGGCAGGCACCTCGTCAAGATGCACATCAAGCGCAGCCATACCTGGGATAACAAGCAACACGCAATCACTTAAAAGCACAATAAAATAAATCGATTAATGCATAAAGATAAGGTGACATAACTTTTATATAAATGAGTATATGAAATAAATTGGTTACGAACAAATTCACGATAAGTTAAAGACGTCAAAAAATATATTTTAAGAAAATGCCACAAACGCGAAAATGTTATCGAAGTTAACCATAACCAGCTTAAGCGATATGTGCAAGTTAATAGTAGACAGCTCAAGTAGAGATTAATATGAAGTAAAGAAGCATTAAGACAATATAGCAAACCCACCACCTGGAATAAAAGGACAGCATGCAAGAACGCGGTTAGTAAATCGGATGCAACGTACGTACAAACGATTCGCCTGTTCTGCCTATGTTCTCTGCCGGACATGTCGCCGCTGCAATGGTGGCCCCGAGTGACCTCGCTCACGGCTCACTAGGCCTTCCTGACTCAGGCATTCGCGACCGCATGTGCTACAGCACCATGCGCTTGCTGTCGATGGAGTATAACCTATCGGCGATTATCGATTCCGCAATTGCTGCTTTTCAATGCATGCACGAGGACTTCCTCTTGCACCTCGGCAACTGCCTTCGTGATCAGATCGCGCCATGCACGCCGATCAACTGTTTTCGATTCCCATGACCTGCAATCAATATTAGAACGTGACAGCCTCACTTTGATCATGTCCTGGTAACGTAACTTTAGTTTCCCCACATGCTGCTTCCCAATACCCAGCTGACCACATATTAGCTGCTTCGGTATCCGCGATGAATCCATACGGCACACATGACCCAGCCACCTCAGATGTTTCAATAAAAGTATGCAGTCTACTGCATACATGCCACTTCGCCTCCATAATTCTTCACAGACTGACTGGCGCTCGTGAAAGCCAGATTCGTGAGTAGCAAGCCGGGTTTCGTCGGGGTCGTGGCTCCATCGACCACATCTTCACCTTACATCAGTTGTTGGAGCACCGTCAAACATATTTGCGGCCCATCGTAGTCGTGTTCCTCGACATCAAAGGTGCATTCGATTCGGTTGATCGATGTGCCCTTTGGAATTGTTTGCTCAGGAAAGGTGTGCCCGAGAAATATGTAAATATTATCCAAGCATTATATTTGCATAGCACGGGCAGAGTGAGGGCTTACGACAAGCTGTCGCCACCTTTTAATATCTCCAGCGGTGTGAGACAAGCATGCCCGCTGTCACCTTTTCTCTTCGACTACGCTATTGACGAAGTCATGGAAACTGCTCGGAGTGCTTTCGCTAACCTTCGCCACATATGGCCGCGCCCCGACATGACTCTCGCCCTGAAGTGTAGAGTGTACAATGCAGCGATACATTCGACCTTACTGTACGGTTGCGAAACCTGTCCCCTAAGGTTTGCTTATCGCGGATTCATTGCTAACCAACTTACTTCATATGCTAATTTATCGAACAGTTATGCCACCGTATCTGTATGCATTATTGGATTTATGTTATTTCATTTTGTCGTTTCAAGTGATTGGCTGTTGCGTGCTATCCCCGGTGTGGATGCGCTTGGTGTGCATGTTGACAAGGTGCCTACCTGTCTATTACCTACTACCTCGTCCATACTGGCTCCAGGAGACAGTTGGTCGTTGCTGGAGGGGACCGGGTGCACGGTCCTTGTGGCCGTGCTAGGCTAGAAGAGTGGTTTCATGCACTCAGTGTGGAGCAAACTACGGTCCAGCCACCGCCTTGTGTGCGCTTGATTCCCCAAAGACAGTGTGCTTGTGTTTGCCTGTGAAGGAGTGTGGGCCGGCTCCGTTGATGAAACGTGGCTCCCATCCACATGCCTCCCGGTCTTATTCCTTCGGGTTTACACTGGATATGGGGTGTGTGGTTGGAGCTGTGGGTGGTGTAGCGCAAACCACCCATGGTCCCTCTGTAGGCGCAGACGTCCTGTGGCTGGCCACAGTGACAGGCAAATCCGAAACCGGATGCCGCCAACCATGTATGTATGTATTTCTTTCATGTATTGCGGCACAATAGTGGAGGTGTTTTCCCACCTCTAGCTGATGTGTATAATGAATGAATGAATGATGCCACTTCGCCGCAACACTTCCGTGTCTGCAAGTCTGTCGCCTCAGCCGATCCGCAAAATCCGTCGCAGACAATGATAATGGAACCGCTCGAGATATTGCACATCCCGACGGTACATCGTCCACGTTTCACTGCCGTATAGAAGAACGGACAGCACCATGGATTTGTACACCATCAACTTCGTGCCAATGGTATGCTGACGGCTGTTTCACACTCCGTACTCTTGCTTCCCGAATGCCGTCGCTGCTTTCGACACACGGATATGAAGCTCAATGTGAAGTTGCTAGTCAGTCAACATCACACTCCAAAGTAGCAGAAGCGGGAAGTGGTTTCCAATACTTCAGCAACAATGCTGATTTGCGGCAATATTGAAGATTGTACCTCCGATGAAGGCTGAAAGAGACAGACAGTTTTGCATGTTTTGGTGGTGAGCCCGAATTTGGCCGCTGTCGAAGCCACAGCACCAGTCATGCGCTGTAACTCATCAGCGATGTGTGCAACCAACGCACCGTCGTCAGCAAACAGCAACATACGGATAGTTGTCTCACAGACTAGGGTTCTCGCACAGAAACGACGGATGTTCAGCAACCCACCATCAATACGGTGCTCCACACGAACACCGTAAGCACAAGCGGCATCAAAAGCACAGGACAGCATTGCATGAAGATATATATTAAACAGGGCAGGAGCTAAGACACATCCTTGCTTCACACCAGAGATAACTGCAAAGTCATCCGAGGTCTCTCCACTCAGATGCACCCTCGCTCGCATACCACTGTGCAGACATCCAATTAAACTTACAAACTTACGCGGGCAACCAAACTTACCCAACACCATCCACAATGCCTCGCGGTTCACCGTATCAAATACCTTGGTGAAATCAACAAAAAGTGAGTACAATGGCTGGTGTCGTTCTCTACAATAGACTGCACATATACAGGGATAACAAATGCTAAAGTTAGATATGTTGTTATTTTGGTACAAACGAAACAGAAAGCAGAGCCCAAAAACTCATTCAGGGAAGTACTTACTCAGGTGGACAGAGTCTACGTGAATCTGGAGATGAGCCCTATGGGCGAAATTTTTCTGGCAGTACTCACAGGTGTGGATAATTTGATCTGGAACAGAAAGCCGAACAAACTGGAATTGTAAACTCAAGGTGCAATTAAGAAAGGGTCACTGAACATATACTTGTCATTAGGTTCCACGAGTGACGAATTCGTGGAGAAGCAAGCAGTTCCACCATAAAATGTAAGAGGGTGAATTCTCTGACAGATAAAATTAAAGGATCTAGTGGAAAAATGATCAAATCTCTAAAAAACGCTTATCAACTACTTTAACTAGCTGCTATACACACGGTTAAATAAACTCCGTCGTCCCTCGACCTTCAACCTCGGTGCATTGAGGCGAACCGTAGGTAGAAAACAAACGCATACCAACCTGACGACGGTACCGCGAACGAGCGCCGAAAGTGTGTACAAATAGCTGGGAACGAGAATGTATATTAGTGAATGTCTGCATCGGTAAAAAACTAATGAAATAAAACGTGTTAAGTAAAACTTATTCGAAATTTGACAATTGCAAACTCGGAAGATGCTAGCAGAGTCAATCCAGACATCCGATTGTGATGGTTACCGTGGCGAACATGACGTACCGCATGAAATACCTATTACAACCCCGAACGCAATGCGTACAAATTGTCGGACATAGCGGATAAAGCTTTACTCCTCGAATATTACCCGATAGAGAATATGAGAACCGAAATTGTGATCAGACACAACTGCATCCTGACTGGCCTGTTGAAAAACCTACGCGTGTGGTGCCATCATCATCATCATCATCATACACGTTAGCTAGAGGTGGGGAACACCTCAACTACTGTGCCGCAATACAGAGAAAAAAGAAGAGAAAAAGTGCAACTGGTGCAAGCCGGCTGAGCTACAGGTAACGGATGGGCATCGTTCCGGTAAGTTACCAGCCGGCTACTGTGTATCCAAAAAAATACTATACGTAGTTATATAAAGCTAAATAATGAGATGGTGGATGGAGGGGGAGGCGAAGAGGGATAGGGTGGGACAAAGAAACTCACAGCACGAAAGCCACTGAGGTCGGCTCCTTGCCATATCAGCAAGTGTGTCCAACCAAACGTGTTCATCGTATTTTGCACCCCGGCCAGGGAGCCGAGACGCTCCAACCGAGGCCAGCTCAGAAGTGAGGGCCTTCATTCCTCTCGAGCAAGTCTTCGCCTGGCCACCCCTCATCTTCTTCTTAAATCCACATCTCCGATGCGCAAATAACGCACGTCGCGGGAGTCGGTGGGCTGGCATGCGTAACACGTGGCCAGGCCATCGAAGCCTGGTGCGTGAAATATAACAGTGCTGAGCGGTTCATTTCCTTTTCCTGTGCCATAAACAGAGCGTCGAACACGCTCGTTACTCACGCGGTGTTCCCACCAGATGTGAGTTAAACTGCGAAGACACCGGTGATCGAACGTAACTAGATTCTTCAGGTCCGCTGCTTTAAGCGGCCAGGTTTTACAACCGTACAGTAGGGTAGAACGTACTGCTCCATTGTACACTCTACCATTCAGGGCAAGAGTGATGTCGCACCGGCGCCATAAGTGGCGAAGGTTAGTAAAAGCGCACCGATCTTTTGCTATACGATTTGTGATCTCTTCCTCAATCCCACCGGCGCTGATACAACTTCCCAGTTAGTTGAAATTCCGAACGACTTCTAGCGGATCCCCACCAACGGCCAGCGTAGGAGGCGGTCCAGTCCAATCTTGGAGGAACGCTTTGCACTTCGAGGGTGAGAAGTAAAGCCCGAAGTGACGCACAGCTAGTGCTAATTTGTCCAGTTCCGATTGACACGTTTGTGAGCTGTCACAGATTAGGGCAATATCGTCAGCATACTACAAGTCAAGAAGTCATTACCCTGGGAGCAGATACACACCTTCTAAGTCGTGTCCTGTGAACGCGATTTCCATGACTTCGTCAACAGCGAAGATGAAGAGGAAAGGTGATAGCGGGCATCCTTGTCTCACACCACTGGAGATATTAAAGGATAACGACAACTTGCCGTAAGCCCTCACTCTGCCCGCGCTACGCGCATATAATGCTCGGATAATATTCACATATTTCTCAGGGACACGTTTCTTGAGTAGACAGTCCCAAAGTGCATGTCTATCCACCGAGTCGAATGCACCTTTGATATCGAGGAACACGACAACGGTGGGCAGCCAATATGTGTGACGGTGCTCCAACAATTGACGCAAGGAGATGTCGTCAATGCAGCCACGACCTCGACAAAATCCAGCTTGCTCTTCACAAATCTGGCATTCACGAGTCCCAGTAAGTCCGTGAAGGATTACGGAAGCAAGCAATTTAGAGGCAATCGAAATCAGACTGAATACTCGATGGCCGCCGCATTCCGATCGTGAGCCTCCCGTGGAAATTGGGAATATGAAAGACCGGCTCCAATCAGCTGGGACAGTCTCCTGCTGCCACAGTTTCACTAGTAATTCATCTAAATCATCAACAAGAGCATTGTCCCCGAACTTGAAGAGGGATGGATGAAGATCATCTGGTCCCGCGGCTTTGTTCAACTTCAACAGTCCGATCTCACGTTCGACTTCTGAGCAAGAGAGTGGATCCAAAGGAACAGCCCAGGGAGCAGGGCGATCACTGGCTAGCGAGAAATCTAACAATTCCGACCGATTAAATTGCCTAACAAAGTGCTCAGCCCAACGCTCCAAACGCTTTGACAAATTGTGGATTGGCTGTCCACTCTCGTCACGTATAGTTTCACTAACACCAGGTCACCTGCTGCCCGTTTCCCGTATCAGACGGAATAACTTACGATGGTTACCAAGGGCAGCGGCCATTTCCATCTCTGATGCACGATGAGACCACCAGGATTCGCGGTCTCTCTTCAGGCTAGAACAGGGTTTTGCCTAGAGCTCCTTGCGAGTTACATGGTGTTTGTAAAGTCCAAAAGGAACTTTGATGTATCCCCAAACTGGATTGCTTACCTGAGGACATGGTATCTCTTTTCCCTGATTATCTTGCACATTTACACTGCTTTTCTGTGTTTTACAAGCGGTTCACATATCGCATATTTATTTCTTACACTCCATCACTGACACATCATTGAGGTTTCAAGGTCATTTTTATTATTATGTTACTGTGACACTGCCCAAATACTCGATCCGCCCCACGCTGGACAGTTTCTGCCCACTTGCATTACGATTGCGAAACCTATTCGTAAGTCATGTACTGTATTTATTATGCCTTATAGAACCACGGTTACAGGATAATTCGTTTTCTTCTTCTGCCCAGACCGTGCGTTAAGTTTAGGTTTATCTGTTCGTAGTATTTAGTTTAGTTTTCGTACGACGTACTTAGTTTAGGCTTAGTGACATTGGTACAGTGTTCGCTTCCAGCCAGAATATGCCGGATAGCATCTATAAGTTCCAGAGACTGTGAAGAGACCCAATGTCCATGTTGGTGATTAGACATACCACATGAGGATTTTCCTGCAGCTAGTAAGGCCTGTTGAGTATGAGACCAGTGACCTTCAATTGCATCCATTGAGCGCTTATTCAACCCGCATGTCAGCGTACTTCGATACGCATTCAGAACAGCTGGCTTCGCCCGCTGGCTAGTGTTAATGCGCTCACAACATCCTCGCGGGCGTCCGCCAAAACGCATCCGCAGATCAGCACATACAATGCAGTGTCGGTGTCCACACCCGTGCTCCAAATCGAGCGACAGTTCTGAAAGAAGCCTTTTCATCGGTCACTTATCGCAATGTGATCGATTAGCGTCCAAGGCTGGTTGGAGGCTGGTGGGCGCCAAGTCAACCTCCGGCGGGTGTTGTGTCAGAAATTAGTGCTTGTAAGAAATAAGCGAGCATCCTCACACAAATGAAGTAACCGCTCACCGTTATCATTACGGGAGCCTATACGATGTTGGCCGCCCAGATGCAGCTCATCTGTGGATAATTTTCCAATTTGAGCGTTCAGATCCCCAGCCAGCACTACAGTGTCCGAGCTTGTTCTGTGGGGAAGGAGCTCGTTCAGTTGACGACAGAAGTCGTCTTTTACCGAGTCATCGCTACAGTTTGTCGGTGCATAGGCAGCGATAACGAATAGACACCTGTTAGTCCAACGCGACGTCGAAGCTTTGAACGAGCCTGTCAACCGGACCGCACATATCCGGTTACTGATTGGAACCCAATCAACCAGAGTAGCTGCAGCCCGGGGAGTCAGGGCAATACCGACACCGGCTTGGCCGGTGCTCGAAGCTGCATCGTCACCGGATAGGCGCAGTGACAAAGTGCTGCTAATGTCATCTGAAGGGGATCGCAAAGTGAGTACAGAGCTTGAGTCTTGCAGGCGGATCTCCGATAAGCAGCAGATATCGAACGATAGGGTCTCTAATGTTCGGGAAAGTGTTGCCTGTTGACCGATTTGAAGCAATGTGCGAACATTGAGGCATGCCAATCTGAAGGAGGATCGAGGGCTCCAAATGGAAGCCGATGAACTGGAATGGGCCGCTTGCTTGGACATGGGCCTGTTGACAGGGCAAGAATGACGCTCCGCGTTCGCATGTGAGTTGAAACTAAAAGACAAGCGACTATTGAAGCAAGATGGGGGAGGGCCGAGAATTGGGGGTTGAAAACAAGGGGGATAAAATTGAAGCTGGAACGGAGCGATAAGGGTGAAAAAGCGTAAAGGGAATAAGAAGACGGGAAGGCTTGAGCAGTAGCATCCAAACCCCTATCCACCCTGCCCGATGCAGCAGATAGGGCACCGTTGATTATCCTCTGCGGTGGCCAGAGCATCAGAAATTTGTTTGAAGGGAAATTCATTGTATTGCGTGGGCAGAATACTGTCAGGTTGCCCAGGCCTAAACAGGAGAACTATTAGGGTTCTCAACCAAAGCCTTTGGTTCAAAACCTGTCCGCAAGGCAGCGGGTTTGGCATTGGACTACAAGGAGTCCGTTTTAAGGAATAAGGCGCCACCCTCATTTCAACCCCCAACCTGGAGGACCAGGAGACTGAGTTTGTCTGGCCTCTAACCATTGACCAATCTGGTATGAGTGACTCTGAAGGTGCGAAGATGCACCACCCAGTATAGCTCAATGGATCAGAGGCACACAAACCATCGCACCACGGTAAGGTCCAGCGTGTGGTGCCAGCTACATGGCTCGGCGTTACTCGGTTCCGACGAAAGACCCGGTCGGAACACGCTCAAGGACGTAGTGGTTTTTCGCTAGGCAAACATTATACTATAGAAAACCATATACGTCCCTTTAAAAACAAGGCGGCGAAGCGGATGTGATTTGCCAGTAGATAAAATCACTGCTCCTTGCTTCACTTCGATGGAGCATTGTATTCATACAATATCCGGTAGGGATTTATTCAAAAGCGTTCAAATTTCAGCTGCCAAATTCCAAAGATGTGAAATAGAAAGTGGTTAGTTTCGGTACCTGTGTTCTCTATTGTTAGCAGTAGGAGGCATCAGAATACAATCTGTTGAGTCATATCGCTTTTGCGAAATTCTGCGTTCGAGTACTTTTCTTTGGTTTACAATCCGCATTTGGTTCCATTCCCAGTACAGATTTTACTTGTATTTTGCTGAGTTTTGATAGCAGTTCATCGTATATCTGATTTCTTCCTTTAACCGACCAAGAAAACAATTTGTATCTCAGAAAACCGCTGCCAACAAGCGCCAGGAAGCCAATCGTAAACCGAGTATTTCTAGCCTCGGTATCCAAAAAGATTTAGATTCGCCTGACCAAAACGCAAAGTTGGAGGCAGCAGCGTCCGGCTAACGATAGTCACTAAAATTAAAAGCACCGTTCCGTTGCCTCGAAAATGAGAGAGCAGTACAAAACGGAAAGCGCAAATGTAGCAATCAGGTGCTTTGGAAACAGACATCAATATCATGCTTAGTGAGTGTGTCTGACAAACCTAATGCAAATCACTTGCAACTAGCAGCACCGATCTTTAAGTCGCTCACAATACAAATTCGTGAAAGGATAAGTTGGGCTCAAAATGTTATCATCTTTAATATGTCAAATAAAATAAAAACTGGGAACTGTGAAGCGTGGCATGCTCAAAGCGGGCCGCATGAGTGGAAAACGTCTAAGAAAGTACACGTGTACAATCGCGTTACAGTTTATGGAGGAAACTCGCCCAATAGTATCACAAGAGGAATTCCATTGCTAATAATACCGATTTCAGGCCTATTATGATCAAACTGAATCAAACGCTTCTTCAGAGGGAAATAAAGGTAAAGCAGGTCCAATCCAATGACGATGGCATTCCCAGTAATATTGTTAGTTACCAAGCAGATGTAAAAGCTGACGATCAAGCTAAGAAGGATCTGGGCTCATCAGAGGGTAAGAATGTTTTCAAAGTTTCGAGTTTTGATTACTTTATGAGTTCTACATTAAGTTAGCTTTTGAGAAATCTTACAACGCTACTAGATATAGTTACGCTCTGACAAACACAAAAATCCGAGAATTCCAGTATACAGCGCAACTCACGTAATCAGTAGTAAGGCTTCAGCGATCGTGGGAAGCAGCGGAATACTTACCGGTGCGCAACCAACAGCTAAGTTGGTTGGCCCGTTCAAAGCTTCGAAGTCGCGTGTGACTAACAGGTGTCTATTCGTTATCGCTCTCTACGTTCCCACAAACTGTACCGATGATTTGGTAAAGAACGACTTCTACCACCAACTGACCCAGCTCCTTCGCCACAGAAGAAACGCGGACACTGTTGTGCTGGCGGGGGATATGAACGCACAAGTTGGAAAGTTGTCCACTGATGAACTGCATCTGGGCGGCCAACATAGTGCAGGTTCCAGTAATGATAACGGTGAGCGGTTCCTTCATTTGTGTGAAAATGCCCGCTCATTTTGTGAGAGCAATAACTTCCGACACAGTACTCGCCGGAGGGTGAATTGGCGCCCACCAGCCTCGAACCAGCCTTGGACGCAGATCGATCACATTGCCATCAGTTACCGCTGGAGAGGTTGCATCCAGAACTGTCGCTCGATTTGGAGCACATGGGTGGACACCGGTCATGCACATGTATGTGCTGACATGCTGATGCGTTTTGGCGGAAGCCCACGACTACCCTGTGGGCGCATTGACATCAGCCAACCGAAAAGCCACCTGTTCTGAATGCCTATCAAAATACGCTGGTATGCGAGTTGAGTAAGCGCTCAAGGGAGACAACTGAAGCTCATTGATCTCATATTCACCAGACGTTACTAGCAGCAGGAAAATCCTCATGTGGTAAGTCTAAGCACCAACATGGACATTGGGTCACTTCACAGTCTCTGGAACTTATAGATGCTCGCCGGTATATTCCGGCTGGAAGCGAACACAATGAAACTCGCAAGGAGCTCTGGGTAAACTCCGTGCTAGCCTGAAGAGAGACCGCGAATCCTGGTGGTCTCATCGTGCATCAGAGATGGAAGTGGCCGCTGCCCTTGGTAACAATCGTAAGTTATTCCATCGGATACGGGAAACGGGCAGCAGGTGATCTGGTGTTAGTGAAACTATACGTGACGAGAGTGGAGAGCCGATCCACAATTTGACAAAGCGTTTGGAGCGTAGGGATGAGCATTTTGAAAAGCAATTTAATCGATCGGAATGGTTCGATCCTTCGCCAGCCAGTGGTCGCCCTGCTCCCTGGGCTGTCCCTTTGGATCCACCCTCTTGCTCAGAAGTCGAACGTGAGATCGGACTGTTGAAGTTGAACAAAGCCGCGGGACCAGATGATCTTCATCCATCCCTCTTCAAATTCGGGGACAATGCTCTTGTTGATGATTTAGATGAATTACTAGTGAAACTGTGGCAGCAGGAGACCGTCCGAACCGACTGGAGCCGCTCCGTTATTGTTCCCATTTTCAAAGGAGGCTCGCGCTCGGAATGCGGCAACCATGGAGGAATCAGTCTGGTCCCCAACGCCTCCAAATTACTTGCCTCCATAATCCTTCACAGACTGACTGGCGCTCGTAAAAGATAAATTCGTGAGGAACAGGCCGGGTTTAGTCAGGGTCGTGGCTGCATGGACCACAGCTTCATTTTGCGTCAGTTGTTGGAGCACCGTCATACATGTTGGCGGCCCACCGTTGTCGTGTTCCTCGACATCAAAGGTGCCTTCGATTCGGTTGATCGATGTGCCCTTGGGAATTGTCTACTCAAGAAAGGTGTGCCCGAGAAATATATAAATATTATCCGAGCATTATACGCGCGTAGCAAGGGCAAAGTGAGGGCTTAAGGCAAGCTGTCGCCAACCTGCAATAACTCCGCGGTGTGAGACAAGGATGCCCGCTGTCACTTTTCCTCTTCGACTACGCTATTGACGAAGTCATGGAAACTGCACCTACAGGACATGACTTGGAAGGTGCGGAGCTACTCCCAGGAGAACGACTTCTTGACTTAGAGTATGTAGACGACATTGCTCTCATTTGTGACAGCTCCCAGACGTGCCAAGTCGCACTGGACAGACTAGCACTGGCAGTCAGCCGCTTCGGGCTTTGCTTTGCACCATCGAAATGCAAAGCCTTCCTACGAAATTGGTAGGGATCACCTCCTGCACTGACCCTTGTCGGGGATCAGCTAGAAGTCGTTCGGAAATTCAACTACCTGGGAAGTTGTATCAGCGTCGGTGGGATTGAATACGAGATCACGAAATGTATAGCAAAAGTTCGAAGTGCTTTCGCTAACCTTCGCAACTTATGGTGCCGGCGTTACATCACTCTCTCCATGAAGCGAACAGTGTACAATGCAGCGGTACGATCGACCTTACTGTACGGTTGCGAAACCTGGCCCCTCAGGTCGGCGGACATAAAGAGGCTAGTTACGTTCGACCACCGGTGCCTTCGTAATTTAGCTCACATCTGGTGGGAACACCGCGTGAGTAACGAGCGTGTTCGACACCTTGTTTACGGCATACCAAAAAAGGAACTGATCGGCTCAGCCCCGTCATTTCACGCAGCAAGCTCCGATGGCTGAGCCACTTGTTGCAAATGTCAGCCCACCGACTTCCACGACGTGCGATGTTTTCTCACCGAGGATGTGGATGGAAAAAGAGGAGGGGTGGCCAAAGATGACTAGGTCAAGAGGAATGAAGGCCTTCACTTCGGAGCTGGCCTCGGAGCGTCACTGCTCCCTGGTTGGGGTCCAAAAGACGGTGAACACGTTTGGCTGGATACACTAGCTGACATGACAAGCAGCCGACCTCAGTGGCGTTCCCGTTGTGTTTCTTTGTACCTCCTCATCCATTTTAGCCTCCACTCCATCTACGATCTCATTTCGTAGCGTAAAATATAATAAGTTTACTTTTTGCCCAGTAGCCGGCTGGTAGCTTATCGGAACGATGCCTATCCGTTGCTGGTAGCTCAGCTGGCATGCAACTGATGTATTTATTTTTCTTTTCCTTTGTATATTGCGGCACAGTGGCTGAGGTGTTTCCCACCTCTAGCTAAGGTGTATAATGATAGTGGTGATGAACGCCGCATAGTCAAGCGAACCGTGCACGCCGTCTAGCCCACCGAAGAGCAGCGGTCTCTGAGAACGAATAATCGAGGTGAAGGGTGTTAGACAGGTAGATACCTAGTCAACACTCGCATAAACCGCAGCCACATCGAGGCTAACAAACAACTAGCAAGAATTTGAAGGAAAAGAAACCGAGAAAATACAGCAGCACAAGCAAACTAAATAAAGTGAAATACTTATTCCCAGGTTAAGAAAATATGGTTTAAGTATAAGTCGGTGTGGCCCAACAACGGTGATGCAGCATAACGTATGCAGCATCAACTTAAGCATGAGATACCCGAAACAGATAAGAGCACAGTTAAATCAATAGGCAATTGGACACTTACTCGAATGAACAGCACGGAGATGTCTTCCTAGAGCATCTGATCGCGAAAAGGTAGTGTAACAAAAGCTACATATGTGTACTTGCTGAACTGGAACGGAAAACAACCATGGAATTACAATCTGAGAACAGGGGCCCTGCATTCCCTAGGTGTTCGCCGAACGATCCACCCATGTTCAACATCAAGGACAACAATACAATGAGCAAATGTTCGATCATTAGAAAAGAAGAGGAGCAGAAATCATAAAATGTTAATGATGACAAAAAAGAACAAATTGCAGATGTGATAAAGCGTCAGCTATGGACCAACACGTAAAACATAGACATTGCGTGGGATCTTCTAAAGCCCAGCACATTACCAAGCAGCTCCATCTTCTCCTCAGCAGCATGTTCAGGATTGCCACGAACAAGTACGCAACAAGTGTCAGAGAAGCGGAACATAATCTTCCTAATTTGTTGATCTAAAGAAATAATCCGATGAACACAACACAGTGTAAACCGGCAGACCTCATCGTTCTGTACAAAGTGATGTCACCTAACCTCAGTAATTGTTCGTACACAGCGAAGTTTAACGAGTTAGACAAAGCCGAGGGACCAGCTGCGGACATAAAAAAACGAACCGGTAAACCACAAATAGGCGAACGTGAACCCGGTAGTCAAAGGAATGAACAAAATCGCAAGAGCGGTAACGGTGAACGTACACATGGTTATCATTTAGACTCAAGACAATACCCAGAAGGCCGCTATGGGCTCGACGAACTCATCAGTGGTACGACCACAATGCTTTTAGAAGCAACATTGCTTCGCAGCACGAACGCTCACATTGTGGCACTGGCAACTACTGAATTCTTTGATTACCTGGTCAAATTGAGTGTTGCCATGACTTTTTCTTCAAACATAACTTCATTCTGAATCGGCCATCGCGCAGATTATCAAAAGTCGTCTTAACTGCTAAATACAGTACGGCGGATAAGCGAAAACATGTTACTGCTGGCGCCTCCCTTCTTTCTTTTCCACCTCTTTCTCTTACTCCCATCCCGACCCCATTACCAACCTCCCTTCTATAATTCGCAGCTTAATTGACAGCAACCGAAGTGCCGCTGGAGTAGAACCACCTGCAGCCACCTTCTCGCGATACGCACCGGACGGCTATCGGCAACAGACTCTTTTAAAGCCACGCCGCCCCGTTTCCATAGCGACGTTCAACGTTCGCACTCTAAGACAAACAGGTCAACAGGCTGCACTCGCATGCATCTTGGACGCACTGGGTATTGATGTGTGTTGTGTGTCCGAAACTAGGAAAAATGATCCTAACGGGGTTATTGAATTAAATGCACCCGGCTTATCCTCTCGTTATTGGTTGCACGCATCCGGAGACGCCGATGCAGCACTCACGGGTCAAGCTGGTGTAGGTATCATTCTCAGCTCTAAGGCTGAGCCATCGTTGGTTGATTGGATTCCGGTGAACAGCCGTTTATGTGCAGCCCGTTTGACGACATCAGCTAAAGTGGATTCACGAAGTAATACAAAATGCTGTTTATTTGTGATTTCCGTTTATGCTCCCACCGACTGCAGTTCTAATGCAGTCAAGGACACATTCTATCACGAACACAAGGCCCTACTACGCAGTGCTACTAGTGCAGATATTATATTACTTGCATGGGATATGAACGCACAAATAGGGCGTCTGAGCTCTTCAGAAGCTCAGCTGGGTGGTAATTGTGAGCTTAACTCAGAACGGACTGACAACGGTGAGCGTCTGCTGCAACTGTGTGCGGAGCACCAGTTGTTTCTTAGTAGCACTGCTTTTAGACACAGTGGGCACCGAAGTGCTACCTGACGTCCTCCTGTAGCTGGTCAGCGATGGACCCTAATTGGCCACATAGCTAGAAGTTACAGATGGCGTGATTTCATCCTGGATTGAAGCTCGTACTGGAGTACCTGCGTCGATTCTGATCATGTCTTGGTACGCTGTCGTTTCTCCATGAAGTTTACCGGAAAGCGCACCAAGCATCTCTTCCGATTGGCAACAGAAAAATTGTATCAGCCCTCGGTCAGGCAAGCCTATTAAGAAGCACTGCATACCGAACTTCCGCTGTCTTGTTCTAATGACACTGAGCTTCCGTGGAATAGGATCTTAGCCGCCATGCACGACGCAGGATCATCTGCATGTGGCATTATCAATCGTCAACGCATCAGTCACCGGATATCCGAGGTCGGTAAACGTGCTGGAAGCTAGAAGACACCACCCGGCTAGCTCTGAGCACAATGTGACCAGACGGGCTATAAGGCGAGAACTAAAACGGAGCCTACGTGCTGACGAGGATGGTTGGTGGACCAGTATGGCTCCAGAAATGAAGGAGGCAAGAGCAGTAGGCAATTACTGCAACCTCTTTCCAGCTGATCCGCACCACGGACCTCAGGAAACCAGGCGTCAGTGAGACAATCGGAGACACAGCAGGTGCACTGATACACAATAAGAATCACTGTATAGATCGTTGGGTAGAAGACTTTCCAGATCAGTTCAACTGGTCCCCTGCTCCCGGACCTCTTCCCGCTCAGATGATGCAAGAGGAGCAATGGGCGGTTAGTTTAGAGCCTCCGTCGGAAGTCGAAGTCCGAAACGCGATCACATCGCTTAATCGTTTTTGTGCCGCTGGCCCGCATTCCCTCCCACCTGCACTATTTAAGGATAGAGATGAGGTCCTCTGCAAAGCACTGAGCACCCTATTCGAACTTATCTGGAAGGCAGTGTCCCGGATAACTGGAGCGACTCGATTATAGTAGCAATATACAAGAAGGGCAGTCGCACAGACTGTTCTAACCACAGGGGTATTAGCCTAACATCAACCGCCACAAAATAACTGGCCTCGATCCTCGTTCGTCGTTTCAGTGTGGAACGGAAGTTTGGAATTAGGGAAGAGCAAGTCAGTTTGCGCTCAGGACATAGCTGTATAGACCATATATTCACTTCGCGGCAGGTGCTAGAGCAGCGCCATGCATACCGCAGACCGACAATAGCTGTGTTCCTCGATTTCAAGATTGTGTTCGATTCAGTCGATCGATGCATCCTGTCCGAAATACTTGCGCGAATAGGTGTTCCTACGAAATACGTGAATATCTCTCGTGCTTTGAACTCGAACATTACAGGCCGCGTCAGGGTCTACGGTGGCCTATCAGATAGCTTTCTGATCACAAGTGGCGTTCGTCAGGGTTATCCGATTTCCCCCTTTTGGTTCAATTTCGTCGTGAATTCTATCATGGTGTGTTCCCTTGCGGAATCTCATGATGTAGGCCTTGAAGTGCTGCCTGGTGAAAGAGTAGCTGATCAAGATTATGCGGACGATATCGCCTTGCTTTTCGACGATGTTGGGGAGGCACAATCAACCCTGAATAGCCTGTCTAGAGTAGTCTCATTATTTTGCATGCACTTCGCACCTTCAAAGTTCAATGTTGCTGCAAGACCACCATCCACTTTATGACCGCTTGACCCTTGCTAACGAGGAGCTGGAGGTGGTTGACCAATTTACTTACCTTGGCAGCTGCATCAGCAACGATGGAGGCATAGAAACTGACGTCCGCTCAAGCATCGCAAAGGCCAGAGCTGCCTTCTTGAATCTGCGGCATCTTTGGGGATAGAAGGGAGTTTCCCTCCGTCTGAAAGGTCGTGTATACAAGGCCACAATGAGGGCCATTCCGCTCTAATGGCAGTGAGACTTGGCTCCTTCGGCCTGAAGATCTGAGGCGCCTTCAAGTCTTTGATCATCGTTGTCTACGAAGCATTGCTGGAGTCGGATGGCACCAGCGTGTCCGCAACGATGATGTGCCCAGGCGAGTACTAGGTAGTGATAATCATGCTAGTTCCCTAGAACAACGGATAGCACTGCATAAATTGCGCTGGCTTGGGCACGTGCTAAGTATGCCCGGTCACCGCTTACCTAGGAGGGTCTTGTTTAGTCTGCCAGGTGTAGGGTGGCGCAGAGGTGAACAGAAGTTGACTTGGCAGCGGGAAATGAAGTCACTGATGACCAAACTGGGTGCCGCTGGTCCGTCTCGCCTTCCGCGCTGGAGTACACGTGACTCGCCTTGTGCTTGGCTGGAGACTTTACAGGACATGGCTCGCGACCGACACCAGCAGCGCGTCTGCTGCCGTCTCCTAATAGGATTTTCTGTTTAAAGTATGTTTGGTACCGAGGTATTTGCGGGGTAATGGCTGATTCTGACGCGGGGAAGTGAATGCCGCAAAGAGGATGTCTCGACGATGCCGCCTGAATTTTGCACAATAGCCAGCTGTTTGTGATGCTATGTTGCTACACAAGGTGTAGGCGTCTTGGCCCTGAATGTTTGCTTAGGACATTGAGGTTTTCAGTTAAGTCTCCCTTCTCTCTCTCTTCTTATTCTTTATTTCATAGGTCATCATGATTGTATGGTAGCGAAGTATCAGTCCAAGGGGCTGATGTACTGCTGTTGTTAATGATAATGTTAATGAATGCTGCCATAAACAATGGATGGCGTACATCAGTCCAAGACCGTTGGTCAATGTGGAGCAGACGCCCGGATTCCAATCATACTCCAGAGTGGGTACGCTTGGCGCCCAATATTCTCGCTAGAAAGAAGCGCTTAACTGCAAACCTTCGAACGTATAACCTGAACACACCGTCTGCAGTTCGGCAATATGATGATGAAATGATCCACTACTTCTCAGAAACCAATGAGTTTGGTGAGCCGAACGTCAACTGGGATTGTCTCCAGCGTTCCATGGAGAATGCTTCTAACGCCTGATGTACATCCAACTACAGACGTCCAAACAATGTGTGCATCTCCGAGGCATGGATCAGTTTGATCGAAACGTGGGAACAGATGCCAGTGTTTCAGTGCGTCCACTAAGAAATGAAAAGACGTCTGGCAAGTATTCTTCCAATTTACCGGGAACGCTGGTGGGTGGAAGGTGATTGTGTGGAGGAGGAGGCTAGTACTATTGGAAAGAGCAGAGTGTAGCTCCACGTATCAAGATCACCGACCTAAGAAAGCCCTGTTAGTGAGGTAATCATCCTCAACAGCAGTACATCAGCCACTTGAATTGGTGCTTCG